TCAATGATGTTCTCGTCGGGGCTGCGAAGTGGTTTCTCCCTAGCACAGGTCTCGTACTACACGATTACAACTGGACTGTGATTTCATCATCTTCAACGAATTCCGAGCACACAAGTGTGGTTCAAAACCAATAAAAGCTGGAAGTGGCATCTGTCGCGCGATATCAAGCTCAAGAACAGAGAACGATACTCGACTTGGTCGGTTACCGGATGCAAATCATCACTCAGGATATGCAAGATAAATTACATAGCCCAGGAAAGAGCAGCTAAAACGCTCTCAAGCTGACATTGAAGAAGGAAACAGATACTAGGTCATGTTAATGCGTCGCAAAGTATATACGATACTTCTGAGTAGGGGCGATGCTTTGGTCTGGGAGGACTTTCCGCGTAGTCTGAGATAACTATTTTATCCTAATATTATAAAAGCTTGAGGCTGCTTCTTCCAACAATATGTGCATTGTATTTATCGTGTCAGGTTTACAAAACGTGCAGACAGACGAAAACTCGGACTGTTTTGGGCCACCACTCCGCAGAACATCTCGACGCTACCACTGCATTACGTTACACTAAGGTAAATGGCCAGTTTAACCCCTCCAGCCCGGCATCAATCTGCCAAAAGTTTCGTCCCTATTTTGTATTCTACAACATAACGAATTAGTATTACCGTTTGTATTGAAACACATGACAAAGGTTGTACCACGGTATGAGATGATGGTGGCCAAACTACAACATAGTGCTGGTAATGTTGGCCATGATGGCAAGGAATCGCTTGGTTATGTTGCCTATGACAGCAGTTCGATGAAGACATGCCGTGCAATCAATTGTTGGGGTGACCGCCGACAGGTTTCCGACGAATCGAATCGCGAAAAAATTACTGAGTTACTGAAATAAAACCAAGCAATCGATTGAAACGCACACTACTTGTTCTGCTCATCATTGCTACTGATGGTCCCCTCCAACTCACTGCCCAATCGGCGTCGCTTCTGCGACTTCGTGGCAGGTGCAGCGGATCATCGAGAGCGTCAGGCCTTTTCGCCCGCGCTGCCAGTCGTGGAGCCATAAGTCGAAGCAGGTCACTGGTGCTCCTTTGACGCTCCGCCTGGCGCGTGTGCAGAGGTACACACGCTTCTGGTCATCGTTGCGCCAGCTACAGTACAATGTCTAGTAACCGCGCTTACGCTCTCCTCGGAGCAGACTGCACACGTTGCAGGAGCGCTGGCGCCTTTTGGAGAGCTCCGTACTGTCGCTCTTCTTCAGCTTCTGCCACTCGTCTACCTCGACTGCTACATGGTCCGTCAGGCTGCGCGATGGCGGCGTCAGCGTGGGCGACATCAGTGCAATGCCTGAGGGTTGTGCCATAGGAGCTGCAGATGCAGCTCCTTGAGAAACTGGACGTGACTAAGTGGTTGTGTCTGCTGGCGGCGCTGGTGGAGTTTGTGAAGATGATATATGCATTGATGACGGCCATATCGACCAGCTCGTAAAACAGTGACTTGTAGTACTTGAGCCACCGGTTTGACAGCTGCAGCGAGTACCGCTGAAGCCTCAGCTGGTCGTGGCGATCTACGTCACCCATCAAGTTCTGGTACGGCTTGACAAACTTAGGGCATGGCACCTCGACTTGTTGGGCACCATCACGCCGAACGATGAGCTCGGGCT